AAAAAATAAATAAAAATTAAAAATGCAAATAAAAAATTTTTTTTATAAAATAAAGTTAAAAATAGAAAAAAACTTCTTTTTTTTGGTGTCATTTTAAATAAAAAAAATATTTTTTTTATTATAATATAATCTTCTGAAGAAGGGGAACAGACAGCAAAACAAACGTGACCCTTCCCTGTGCTAACCAAAACTAAAAAAATGTTTTTTTGGCTGGAGTTGCACTTAAAAAATGTACCTGTTCCGACTTGCATACAAATTCAACTTAAGTACAAACCTCCGGTCCCGATCTTGTATGTAACCCGGGGAGGACTGCCAGTATTTACAGATACGGTTCTGTATAATACAAGCAGTGTAAGTGCCCGAATTTGACCCCCTTATCATCATCATCATCTTGCATTGCCTGTGACTGTGAGAGGGTGGCGGCAGCACAAGCAGCCAATCGGGTGTGCCGAGAGAAGGAGTAAGCAAAGTGAACAGACACATGACCTCCTCGGTCCTCCTGCTGCTCTTTCATTGTCCATCCATATCTGCATTCTTCAGCCTTGCTTTGCTGTGTAAATCTCAGGACTGGATGGGCTGAAATAAAAAATCCTTTGGCATGTAAAGCCGTTCCCGTAGACGTCTTTATCTGATGCCTGAAATTCACATTTCTTATGTGTTCACTTTTTTCCCCTCTTAGGTTGGATCAGGGATTAGATTTCATCCTCTCTCAGCAGAAGGAGCTGGAAGATATCCTGAGCCCTCTGGAGGACTCGGTCAAGGAGCAGAACGGGACCATCTACCTCCAGCACGCAGACGAAGAAAGAGAGAAGACGTAAGATGGGGGGGGGGCGCTGCGAAATCGCATTTCTTAGTAAATAGCTTTGTGAAAGCGAGGATTGGACACATGACCTGCAAAACCTTCTCCTATACCGGAGGTCACGGGACGGAGGTCGGGGTATCGCTCGAAATCGCCCGGTGACTGCACTTTGGCAGTACATTGTGTTAGCAATCAGGATGCTTAGACAAGGGGGGAGGGGTTGACAAACTCCAGCCCTCCAGCTGTGGTCAAACTACAGATGCCATCAAGCCTCTGCCTCTGGGGGTCATGCCTGTGGCTGTCAGTCTTGCAATGCCTCATGGGATCTGTAGTTGCACCACAGCTGGAGGGCCGGCGTTTACCTACACATGGTTTAGACTTCCCCTTTAAGGCCTCATTCACACAGGCGTGCACATCCATATAGAGTGCGTGCCCGTGCAGGGACCCGGGAGGGACAGATGTAGCGTATAATTGCGTGTGGCTTATTGTGAGGGCACCCGAACCAGCATGGATGTGCAGGTTCGGGCCGGCGTGTAGTTGCATGCTCTCATGGGGATGTGCGTTCGGTTCCACGCAATTACATGCTGCAACTGTCCTTCCTGCGAGCAGGTCTCTGCATGGATGTTCAGGTCGGCGTGTAGTTGCATGCTCTCATAGGGATGTACACACGGCTACATGCAATTACATGCTGCACCTCTCCTTCCTGCGAGCAGGTCTCTGCATGGATGTGCAGGTTCAGGTCGGCGTGTAGTTGCATGCTCTCATAGGGATGTACAGGTGACTGCACGCAAATTACATGCTGCACCTCTCCTTCCCGGGAGTAGGACTCTGTATGAGCGTGCACTTAAAATGTGGAATATAACATGGGTACAAAAAAGTAAAAAAAGGCCTCAGTCATGAAGGGGTTAAAGTCAACTTGTTGAGTCGTAAACAAAGGGGGCTGCCACTGCTGAGCTCCTAAAAATGCCGGACGCTTGGCTTCCTTTACCCGGGGGTGGGCAAACTCCGGCCCTCCAGCTGTTGTGGATCTACAAATCCCATGAGGCATTGCAAGATTCTCACAGCCACAGACATGACTCCCAGAGGCATGATGGGATTTGTGGTTTCACCACAGCTGGAGGGCCAGCGTTTGCCCGCCCCTGCTTTAACCCCTTGTTGCGAGTTGTACACATATTTGCAGAACCGCGGTGGGTTTTATTTTCTGCTGGCAGGTATGGGTCATGGTTTCGAGCTGGAAGCTTGCTCAATGGCGCACCCGCAGCACTGTGACCGATAACTCCCGCAGCCGGTAGGACGGCTCCTAATCACTGAGACAGCCAACCACAGCGGGCCCATGTAACACTTCCGGGGGAAAGGGGTTAATCACATGACCCTAGCTGTGAATGTATTCAGTCCTAGAGTTCACTGCCTACAAGGAGGCGCCTTTATCTCTCATTGCATGTCATGGAATGTCTACCGATCTTCCTTCTCCACAGGTACAAGCTGGCAGAAAACATCGACGCACAACTGAAACGCATGTCCCAGGATTTGAAGGATGTCATCGAACATCTGAACACGTCCGCCGGACCCGGAGACACCAGTAACCCGGTGAGTCTTATCTGCTTCCTTCTTGTCTTTTCATCACTGCGGGGTCAGGGGGGGGCAACCTGGGCACTCCAGCTGTGGTGAAACCACAAACTA